TTCCTTTCCTTTCCTTTCTTCTTTCCTTTCCTTCCTCTCTCTTCCTCTCTCTTTCCTTCCTTCCTTCCTTCCTCTCCCTCCCCCCTTCCCCCCTCTCCTTCCTGCTTTACAAATATATGTTTTATGGACGGCCATAAACCATCTTAAAAGCTCACTGAAGTTTTAAAAAAAGTAAGCGGAAGGGGACTCAAACGGCCACACTTGTATAGTAGCCCTTGGAAACGAATTCGAATTCCAGCAAGGGAAGATATAATTTGTATATATTTCCGAATCCTCTCTTTAAAAGCAATGTTGTTTATTCGCAATTCGGTTTCCAGACGCCTTTATGTTTTCCTGGTTGGGTATCCAGAGGAGGAGCAGGGGTGGGGAGGTCAAGGGATCCTGTTTTATGATAAAAGGTAAGGCGTAGGACGGGGTGGTGGGGGTTTGGTTTGACTGTGTGACCCTGTCTTCCATCCGTAAGTGGGGATTTTGAATCCTCTGTTACCCAATCTCAGAGGAGACCTATTTACTCGGGGGTAAATTCTCCTGGGATCCACAACAAATGGGACTAAGAGCATTTCTCCTGCAAATCGGAAGCCAGGATCAAGCTAGCGCTCTCTCTCTCTCTCTCTCTTTTTCTCTCTCTCTCTTTCTCTGTGTCTCTGTCTTTCTCTTTCTCTGTCTTTCTCTTTCTCTGTCTCTCTTTCAATGTGTGTGTGTTTATGTGCAGGTGTATTTGTGTGTATACACTATCTCTTTATTTATACCTATCGATCTAATCCATCTTGTCTGTCTGTCTGTCTATATCTATCTATCTATCTATCTATCTATCTATCTATCTATCTATCATCTATCTCTGCTATCTATCATCTATATCTCTGTCTATCTGCCTGTCTGTCTGACTATCTATCTATCTAATCCATTGTCTTTCTGTCCGGCTATCTTTTCAATGAAAATAAAGATTAAAAAACAAGGAATTTGTCCGTCCGTCCGTCCATCCATCCATCCATCCATCCATCTATCTATCTATCTATCTATCTATCTATCTATCTATCTATCTATCTATCTATCATCTATATCTCTGTCTATCTGTCTGTCTGACTATCCATCTATCTAATTCCATTGTCTTTCTGTCCGGCTATCTTTTAAATGAAAATAAAGATTAAAAAACAAGGAATCTGTCTGTCTGTCTGTCTGTCTGTCTCTCTCTCTCTCTCTCAATTAACACAAGGGCTAGTGGGCTTCCGTGGCAGGGGATGCCTCACCGCCTAAAAACTACATGGCTGAGCTAAATCCCACCACGTAACTCCTCTCGTAAGGGCGGGAGGCTCACAGCACCCCTGAGCCCACCAACCCCCCGCTTCGGCCTGGCCCAGCCTCTTCTCACAGCCCACCTGCGATCGAAGCCAACAGCCCAAGCTATCAAGCCGAGACGCCGCTTCGATCGACCCAAGCTGACTCGCTCGCTCTGCCTCCAGCTCAAACGCCTTTCTCCTTCCCCCACTCCAGCAGCACCCGGGGGGCGGGGGGAGAAGAAAACCTCCCAGGCTGCACCGACGGAGCTCCCCGTTTTAAGACCCCCCCCCCGCTTCATCCTTCGCTTCGTCGTTAAAAAGGGCTGCTGATTATTCCAGGTAGGGAGAATAGATCGCGAAGACAGAAGCGTCTCGTCCGGGCGCTGCTTGGCTAAACTTTCAAAAGTTTATTCGGAAGCAAAGCCAAGGGCTTGGCATTCCTCTCCCTGCGATTTGAGAGTTTAACTCGGGAAGCGCGAAATTCAGTTGTTTTTGAGGTGTGGGTGGAAGACCGGGGTGGGGTGGGGGTGGGGAGAGAATGTATAGGCCACGTCCTGCCTTCTGAGTGTGCCTTCTCTAAGCAAACTAAGCTAATTCCGAAGTGAACTTGCTGGCAAGACAAACTCAGCTTTTAATGTAATGCAAAGTTACAGAGAACTAAGTTTCGCGGGGGCGCGGTTCGCTGGGCTTTAGGGACTGCATAGATTTTACATAGGTAGGCTCACGTACAGGCAGGGACGGATGTAGAAACTGAAACAGTAAGGAGAGAGTAAGGTAAGAAAAAAGAAGAAAGAGAGAAGAAAGAAAGGAAAGGAAAGAAAGAAAAGAAGAATTGAATTGAGTAGAGTAGAGTAGAGTAGAGTAGAGTAGAGTAGAGTAGAATAGAATAGAATAGAATAGAATAGAATAGAATAGAATAGAATATCTTTATTGGCCAAGTGTGATTGGACACACAAGGAATTTGTCTCAGTGCCTACGCTCTCGGGGTACATAAAAGAAAAAATACATTCGTCAAGAATCATAAGGTACAACACTTAATGATGGTCATAGGGAAAAACAGTCAATATAAATCTTAAGGACACCAGCAACAAGGTTACAGTCCTTCAGTCATAAGTGGGAGGAGATGAGAAAGAGGAAAGAAAAAGAAAGAGGAAAGAAAAAGAAAGAGAGAAAGAAAGAGAAAGAAAGAAAAAGAAAAGAAACAGAGAAAGACGAGAGATACAAAGAAATACAAAGAGAGAGAGAGAAAGAAGAAAGAGAGAGAGAGAGAAAGAAGGAGGCAAAGAAAAAGAGTGAGAGAGACATACCCAACTTTGGAAAAGAACAAATCTGAAAAGCGAACCCCCAAAAAACTCAAAGCAGAACCGATCTGGATTACTTAATCTCTCTCCTGCCCCCCACCCCCGCCACCTAGAGTACATAAACAAATATTTGTCAATCGAAACTTTTTCCGCCGCCCTGTCTGAACTACGAAGCCGTAGCTCAAGAAGGAGAACCTATATAAAATATACGTTTTTCTCCTTTGCTTTACTAAAGGAAGAAGGGGCCACGAAGACATGAGGGTGGGGGGAGCTAAGGCCACTGGGGTGGGGGGATGGGGAAGAGCCCTCGCTTGGTGTTTAGAACGATTCCTACGCAGAATTTCGACGGTCCCGCTTTTTTTCCCCCTCCCCCACGCCCCCTCCCCCACTCTCCCCCGAAAAAAAGCGCCGGTGTGGATCCGAAAGGAGCGCGCAAAATTCAGAGGAGAGAAGGAAATTCCGCGAAAAGACGGCGGTGGAGGATGGAACCTGGGGGAGGAGGATTTATTTTATTTTATTTTTCTCTGATATTTATTGATAAGCGTCGTCGGAGTCTTCACAATACCCACCCACCCCCTTTTCCACCGGCCCCCCATGGCGAGATTTGCTCGAACTTTTGCGCCGATCCAGAGGCCGCCTTTGGAAGTTGCGTTGAAGGGTCCGATCCGTCCCGAGTTTGACCGGCCAGAGTTTTGCGGAACTTGTCTCCCCGTAAGATTTACAACTCTCTTCTTCTTCTCCGCCCCTCCTTGGCGGAGGCTTTCCGAGCTGTATAAATATTTTTTCCTGAATCATAAATACAGATGAAGAGGAGAAGGCAGGCCGGATAGAAGATTGAAGTTATGTTGATTTTTATTCCCCCGGTAGAATTATTATTATTATTATTTTTTTAAAAAAGCTGCTAGTAAATTAACTAGAGTAACTAACTCTTTGACTGCCTCGCTTCATTTTTTTTTTTAAAAAAACCTCCAGCCTCGTCCAGACCCCCGTCGGATTTTTATTGCTTCTTTCGAAGCCTTTTTATACACCCAGACGAAAACTGCAAAGTTTAAGGTGGAGGGGGAAAAAATCTTGATTTGACTATTTGAATAGCGCTATCTTGGTGGGTTTCTTTGCAATGCAAAATGCTTCCGGCAAGGCCACAACGAAGTTTGGGGAGGAATTTGGGGGTTTTTTTGAGGGGGGGGAAGGGCAGGGGAAAATCAACCAGTAAAGGAGACAATTTTTTTAATTGGTCTAACCCCCATTGATGTCAATGGGCCTGCCACTCTCTATCCAGCAAGTAAATGTGAGTGGAAAGTTTAAACACAAACACATACCTTACTTGCCCCTTACAAATCTGAGTAAAACTTTGCACCCAACCAAAACTGAGCTTGTATGCAGCCTTTTCAAGCTTCCCACCTTCATTGGCATCCATAGGCTTTACTTCTGATTGTAACTGGTACCACCTCACTGCTTTCAGATTTACTTTAAATGCTTCGGAAGGGGAGCGGGATTTACCTTAGTCCCCTTCCCCAAAACAAAGCAATCCAAATTCAGTACAATCTGGGAAAAAAAAAGATTGGTGGAAATATTTTGGATAAACCCCCACTGGTCCCCTCAAAGGTACATGAGTTGAGAGCATCAAAGATGCAGCTATGAAAAGAAAAAAATACAGTGGGTTTAAATTGCAAGGAACTTAAAAGCAACTTTCTTTTGAATTCGGCGGGGAGGAAGATTACAGGAAAGTTGGGGAAGACTTGGAACCATTTCAACAAATCTATTTATTTATTTCTGTTTTGGTTTCAACAATGCTCAACAACTTAAGGTTTTGAACCTGTAAAAATATCGGACTCAATTTTTCCCCCAATAATGATGATCATTGTAATAACCTGCCATAGAACGTCCCAGATTTAACAACTGTCAATAAGGAGAGGGGGGGGAGTCTGGATAATGGTTATGGCGGTACCTGGAGACAGCAAAAGAGAAGAAAGAGAAAGAATGGGAGAAAAAAAATACAAAGAGCTACAAATCCAAGTGGAAGGACTGTGGCCAAAGAAAGCAAAGATAGACCCAATTATAGGGATAAGCAACTTGGGTGCAATCCCAAAACATCTGGAGCAGCAACGGAACACTATCCGGGCATTGACAAAATCCCCCATCAGTCAATTGCAAAGGGCAACTTTAGTTCTGAGGAGCTTAAATCCCCGGAGACAAAAATCTATATAACGCCATCAAATATCCACATCTGCCTATCTCAGGTCCTTGGGAAGGACTGGTGAACCAAAAAATGCCAAATCCAGTTTAAACATCTGGCTGACCATAATAGATTGGCAATGGGGGGAAAAATAGCATTTTTGGGGGGGGGGGTCTTTTTAAATGAACAAAACTCCCAGATTTTTTTTCTCCCCCACCCCCTTCACAAATCTACTGGAAAAGTGTGTCGGTATTTAATTTACATATTTATTTAATCATTTCTACCCGGGGTAGAATCAGGGAGCATCCAGCGATGTCCAGCGATTGTACAAGTCTTTTTTCAACCCTATTTGTTCTGCTTTTTGCATGCGTACACCTCCCCTCCCTCAAAATCAACAAAACGACCCCTTTTCTCTTTATAATGGCACAGTAAAACAAACAAAAAAAAACAAAAAAAACAACAACCCGAAACATCGGAAATGTAAACATGATCTTCCCCTGATAGATTTTTGCTTCCTCTCCCCTCCTGTTTTTTTTTTTTTTTTTTTTGAAGCTGTAACTCTTCACAACGGAACCTGACTTTGAAATGAAAATGAGTTTAAAAACCAAACCAAACCAGAAAGACAGCTGCGGTCTATATTTACAGACATATATACAATATCAATAAATTAAATTTTTAATTTCGAGTATTCATAGGCCAGGTTATTTACAAGTCATCCATTAATTACATAAATACTTTTTTTTATCAATAGTGTCCACTGTTTTCCTTTTTTTCCTTCTCCTTTATTACGCTGATAAACCTTCTTATTGCATATACAGTAAAAGGAAGGGGGGAAAATGTATGAAAAATAAAAATAAAAAAAAAGGAGGGGGGAGGGTCATCTTAAAACAAACCAGCAAAATTATAATGCTCCCCCTTCTAACTATATTTTTTTAATTGCTCCTATCGGAAAAAGAAACCCAAAAATGTAAAGAAATATGTATACATATATATGTATATATGTATGTGTGTGTATATATATATATATATATATATATTTATTTATATCAGAATACATATATACATACACACACATGCATACACATATAAATGTATGTGTGTAGACACACACACATGTACACACACACACACATATATATTCTTTTCTTTTCGTAGGCGTTTATGTGTACTTCTCTTTAGCCAGGTTCTTCCTACTTAACCAAGATTTTTATGCAGCCCTAGTTCAGTGAAATCACAATCCACTAGTTTCTAGGCTTTTTTTCCAGCAGCCAACAATGGGCAGCAGAGTGTTTGCTGGCTGCCAGAAAAAAAAAAAAAAACCTAGGAACTAGTGGATTGTGATTTCACTGAATTAGGGCTGCATAAAAATCTTGGTTTACGTGGGAAGAACCTGGCTAAAGAGAAATACATACATACATACATACATACAATATTCAATATATATATATATATATTCAATACACACACACACGTATGTATGTACATATGTATGTACATATCTACACACATATCTACACACACACACATACATACATATTTAATGCTCTGGGGACCTTAAGCAAGCGTTTATGGAACGTGGAGGGGGGGGGGGCTTTCACAAAATTAAGAGTTTTGGAACGAACCATGCAAAAATAAACAAACTATAGCCGCAGACACCCGCCTTGCGCCCCCCCCCCCCAAAAAAATATTAAAAGGCTTCGCTTTTTTCTCCTTCCCTGCTCCCCCCCCCTTTTCGGCTTGATTTTCGAAGGAACTTCTACGCGGGGAAAAAAACAACCCCAAAACAAACAAATTCTCCATTGGGGAACCCCCCCCCACAAAAAAGAGGTCCCCCATTTTCTCTGCCCATCTCTGTTTTGATCTTTAAGGGGAGGCAGGAACCCCCCCAAAAAATAAACCCCAACAAAACAAAAACCCGAAGAAAAGGGGGATGGAAGGGGAGAGGACCCCAGAATTCACACCTGCCTCCAGTGGACAAAACAGTGGTTCATAGCAGCTTCCAGCAGCGCCCCACCCCCACCCCGCCCGTCCGTCCGTCCATCAGCTCCTGGGCCCTCCTTCCTTCCTTCCATCCCCAGCGGGACCCCAGCCCCACACACAAAATCCCCGCTGGCCAAGTTTGGAGAGGCTGGATGGGCCCACAAGGCGTGGAGGGGGGGAGGGGGGAGAAGCTGGAGGTGCCCCTCCCCCATACTGTAGGGGGTGGGAGGGGGAGGATGGTCTCCCCCCTCCCCACTAGGGCGACCCACTCCTGGCTCTGTCCTGCTTCGACTCGAGTCCACTCACTAAGCGCTGGATGTTTTGCAGCTCGCTGGTGGCTTCCTTATCCGAGCCGGAGGACGAGAGCGTTGAAGAGCGGCTGTTCAGCTCGGAACCGGAGGAATCCAAGGCTCCCAAGCTGGGGCTGGGCGCTAAAGCTCTGCCTTTGCCTTCCGTGCCACCAACCAGCGAAGGCGGCAGAGCGGTGGTGAGCAAGCTACTGCCGCCGCCTCCGCCTCCGCTGCTGCTGTCCGGCAGAGGCACCGAGAGGGAGTAAGGGCTGTAACGCAGGCGAGGGCGCACGGCGGCGTTCAGGAAAGGCGGGTGTCGGTGCATCGGGGCGGCCGTCGAGGCTGCCGCCGCCGCCGCCATGTAGGTGTAAGGGTAGGGGAAGAGGCTGCCGAAGGGAGACATCGCCAGGCTCTGCAAAAGAAGAGCGAGAGACAGTCAGAGGGGCGACCACGGGGGGTGGGTGGGTGGGGTGGGCTGGGGAGGGTGGGGGTAGGAGAGGAAAGCTCCCAACAGTCCCCCGTCCCGCCCCACAAGCACGATCTTGCCTGGCAGTGGGTCAACCAGGCTGTCGGGCCAGTACAGGTAGTGGGTCAACCACGTCAGCATTAGTGGGTCAACCAGGTTGCATGGACAGCATAGGCAGTGGGTCAACCAGATTGAATGGACAGCATAGGCAGTGGGTCAACCAGGTTGCATGGACAGCATAGGGCAGTGGGTCAACCAGGTTGAATGGACAGCATAGGCAGTGGGTCAACCAGGTTGAATGGACAGCATAGGCAGTGGGTCAACCAGGTTGAATGGACAGCATAGGCAGTGGGTCAACCAGGTTGCATGGACAGCATAGGCAGTGGGTCAACCAGGTTGAATGGACAGCATAGGCAGTGGGTCAACCAGGTTGAATGGACAGCATAGGCAGTGGGTCAACCAGGTTGCATGGACAGCATAGGCAGTGGGTCAACCAGGTTGAATGGACAGCATAGGCAGTGGGTCAACCAGGTTGAATGGACAGCATAGGCAGTGGGTCAACCAGGTTGCATGGACAGCATAGGCAGTGGGTCAACCAGGTTGAATGGACAGCATAGGCAGTGGGTCAACCAGGTTGAATGGACAGCATAGGCAGTGGGTCAACCAGGTTGAATGGACAGCATAGGCAGTGGGTCAACCAGGTTGCATGGACAGCATAGGCAGTGGGTCAACCAGGTTGAATGGACAGCATAGGCAGTGGGTCAACCAGGTTGCATGGACAGCATAGGCAGTGGGTCAACCAGGTTGCATGGACAGCATAGGCAGTGGGTCAACCAGGTTGAAATGGACAGCATAGGCAGTGGGTCAACCAGGTTGCATGGACAGCATAGGCAGTGGGTCAACCAGGTTGCATGGACAGCATAGGCAGTGGGTCAACCAGGTTGGATGGACAGCATAGGCAGTGGGTCAACCAGGTTGCGTGGTCAGCATAGGCAGTGGGTCAACCAGGTTGCATGGACAGCATAGGCAGTGGGTCAACCAGGTTGCATGGACAGCATAGGCAGTGGGTCAACCAGGCTCAGCATGGACAGCAATAGGCAGTGGGGTCAACCAGGTTGCATGGACTGCATAGGCAGTGGGTCAACCAGGTTGCATGGACAGCATAGGCAGTGGGTCAACCAGGTTGAATGGACAGCATAGGCAGTGGGTCAACCAGGTTGAATGGACAGCATAGCAGTGGGTCAACCAGGTTGCATGGACAGCATAGGCAGTGGGTCAACCAGGTTGAATGGACAGCATAGGCAGTGGTCAACCAGGTTGCATGGACAGCATAGGCAGTGGGTCAACCAGGTTGAATGGACAGCATAGGCAGTGGGTCAACCAGGTTGGATGGACAGCATAGGCAGTGGGTCAACCAGGCTGCGTGGTCAGCAAAAGTAGAGGATCAATTAGGCTACCAGGACAACACAGGCAGTGTGTCAACCGGGCTGCCTGGTCAGCACAGGCAGTGGGTCGACCCACCAAGGACGTTCCCCTTTCTCACAACCACCAAGCCATCCCTGGAGAAGCTGCCCTGTTGTGCCAACTCCGCCCTGTTGTTGTGCTTTACTGATGGAGTAAGAGTCAGGAGAGGGCAAACCTATGGATTAAGTCCAGGAAACCAGCCCATTCTTTGGCCAAGAGAAGCATCTTGGAGCAGAACAAATGTCTTAGGGTTAAGGGTTCAGGGCTCGGAGTTCCCTGGCATTCGTGGAAGCAGGTGCAAACACACGCAAAGACAAACACACACAAAGACTCTTCCATGAGTACCAGGGATGGACAGAAGGAAAAAGAGAGAGAGGGAGGGAGGGAGGGAGATAGAGAGGGAGGAGAGGGGGAGGGGGAGGGAAGGAGGGAGAGAAAGAGAGAGAGATTATACACACACACACACACAGAGGCTTAAGGAGTGTCAGGAACAAATAAGCACATTACATATACTACTATTATTATTTAAGATTTAATCTTCAGTTTGATTCCCAGTTTGGGCTGGTAAAAACTTAACAGTTCAAGTCCTAACCAAGGACCTTAGAACTATTAAGGTAGCATCTGAATGTAAAGGCAGTTACAAGTAAGATAGGTTTTTTTTTTTTTGCAAAGAGCCTTGGTAGGACAGTGGTCTAAGGCACCCTGTTATTAAGCTGGTTATTAAGACCAGCTGCCTGCAATCACTGCAGGTTCGAATCTCGCCAAGGCTCAAGGTTGACTCAGCCTTCCATCCTTTCTACGGTAGGTAAATTGAGGACCCAGTTTGTGGGGGCAATAAGCTGACTTTGTATAAATACACAAAAAGATGAAGGCTATTGCTGAGCACATTGGAAGCCGCCCTGAGTCTCCGGAGAAGGGTGGCATATAAATCAAATTAAAAAAAAAAAAGTCAGGATATTCTGGTCTAATAAATTCAACATTTCCATGGCAGCCCTTTGAGTATTGCTCCAAGAATTGCTCTATTACTATTGGTACATCCATTGATTTCTTCCTCCATAATCGCTCAACTTCCGTTTGCAAATAATTTGCATCATCATCATCATCATTATTATCTCTTTTATTCATTAAACATGAAACTCAGTCAACGGAACATTTAAAAACGTATCACAAATACCATTGACTGGTGCTAATGGTTGATACGGGTTGCTGCCAGCGTCCTAGGTATCAACCAAGTATCTTCTTAAAATATACGATGTTCTGAGCAACGCAGTTTTTTGCAGTCCCGCTGGTGTTATTGCAGGAAGCTGCAATTTGTTGATTTATTTATTATTTATTATTTATTAATCAAATTTCTATACCGCCCTACTCCCGAAGGACTCAGGGCAGTGAACAGCCAAGATGTATCTTATAAAATTCTTGGACATGGTACCAAGTGCCCCGATGACAATGGGTATCACTGTTATATGTTTCATCCATAGCCGTGTAGCTTCGATGGCCAGGTCGTGATACTACTACTACTACTACTACTACTACTACTACTATTACTATTACTATTACTATTGAGATGTTTTATTTTAATGCTTTAATTTTTATTCTGGTCTCAATAAAAGATCAAATGATTGCTATAGAAACAGAGATAAATTCAGATTCTCCCATTCTTGGATGGCTTTCTATTCCGTCCCAGCCTCGCATTCAATCCATTTCCCCTCCCCGTCTTCCCCAGGTGCATCTGGAAAGGAGGGCATCCCTCCAGCTGCTCCCAAACTACAGCTCCCATTAGCCTCACCCTCCTGGCTGATGGCCCCTATGGCAGAGGTTTCTGTATCTCCCAGCAAGAAATCTCGCCAGCTTAAGAAAAATCTGGCTTCCAAGTCTCCGGGCTTTTTTCCATGGGGGAAGTAGGGGAAAGAACTTGGGACTTATTAGGAAGACAAAAGGCCCACGCTGCCAAAAAGGTGCCCTGGGATATACGCCTGAGATGCTAAAGCGCCTAGTTTGCCAGGTGTTTTTGTCCGCCAAATCCCACTTCATTTTCTGGCTTAAGGAGAGCCAGCCGCAGTTGGTTGGTTGGTTGGAAGCCGAGCCTGGGAAAGCAGAGCCAAAATCAAGTTTGCACTCTGATCTCCATTCAATCATCCGTCTCTCTCTCTCTCTCTCAAGGTGCTGACTGACTCTTTGCTGGCTCGGGCCAAGGAACCGTTGATGGTTGTAGCCAGAGGAGGGGGAAACAAACGACAGCCACGAACGGGGCCCAGAAAACTACCAAGCCAAGGATAAAAGTGGGAAACGACAGACTAGGTTGGGCATTTCCTGGCCACTGTTCTTCTTCTCCACTAGCCCTTCTTTGACCCAGTTCCGAAAACAAAACAAACAAACAAAAAATCCACTTAAGTTTTCTTAAGTGAAGAAAAAGGCTGGGAAGATAGCTTATACTTTGGAGGAGCCTTCGGAAAGGCTGAAGTTCTTTCGGTAGGAGGTAGGTAGGTAGAAGGGAAGGTACACAAGCTGATACTTGATTGCTGGCCCTTAATCCGATTTGTGAAACGACCTGTTTGTGGGGTTCCCCTAGACCTGAAGCTTCGAATAAACCCCATAACTCGGGCACGGTGCCAAGGATGAGCTGTAGAAAGCCGAAGCAAATTTTTAAAACAGGAGTCAAGCTGGGCGAAGGCTTGGCTCTTTCCTTAAGCAAGTTAAATATTTTTTTTTTTAAAAAAAAGATGTTCTGTTTTAATCCCACGTTTATTATTATTATTATTATTGTTTTATATAAAGGACTCAAGGGGGTGAACGTATCTGTCTAACACACCTCCCTATTTTCACCAGCCTGGGAAACCAGTTGGACTGACAGAGAGGGAATGTTTGCTTAGATGGCCAATCTGACTGCCGAATTTATTTTTTAATTCCTATCTGCATCTCTCTCTCTCTCTCCACTTTCTCTACCTCCTTCCCTCTCTACCCCACTCCCTCCCTACTTCTCTCTCTCCCCCTCCTTCTCTTTTCCCTCTCTTTCTCTCCCTCCCTCTCCCTCTCTCTCTCCACTCTCTTTCTCTCCCTCCTTCCCTCTCTTTCTTTTCTCTCTTCTCTCTCTCTCTTCTCTTTCTCTCTCCACTCTTTCTCTCCCTCCTTCCCTATCTCCCCTTCCCTCCCTCTTTCCCTCTCCCTCTCTCCCCTTCCCTCTCTCCCTCTCTCTCTTCTCTTTCTCTCTCCACTCTCTTTCTCTCCCTCCTTCCCTATCTCCCCCTCCCTCCCCTCCCTCTCTTCTCTCTTTCTCTCCCTCCCTCTCTCTCGCTCTCTCCCCTTCCCTCCCTCTCTTTCCCTCTCCCTCTCTCCCGCTCTCCCTCCCTCTCCCTCTTGCCCCCCACCTCCCTCCCTCAACAAAAGGGAACCTCAACTTTCCTGAATTTGAAAAAAAAAAAAAAAGAGGTGGGGGGGAAAAACTATTTTTGTTTTTAAAAAATGAATGAATCACACATACCCCACACAGAAATGCAGCCACAAATTTACTTCCCCTCCTTACTCCCCCTGCCACCCCCCCTCCCCGGGCCACCTGCAAAAAAACCCCTTTAAAATGGTGAGTTTTCCTTTGGAAGATTTGCCTCACTTTTTCCTGTGCAAATAGGAAGCTATCCCAGAAGACTCCTAAGTACAGTAGCTGGCCTTTTTTTTTTTTTTTTTTTGCAAATCGGTTTTTAATTTTTTGATTGTTAAATTGCATCGGCCTTTTCTGCATAAAGCAAGAACCCAGTGGCTGTGGTGGAAACCCCTTTTTTAAATTTAGACCCGTCTCTCTAAATCAGTGTTTCTCAATCTCAGCGAGTTTAAGACCTGTGGACTTCAACTCCCAGAATTCCCCAGTCAGCTGGCTGGGGAATTCTGGGAATTGAAGTCCACAAGTCTTTTGCAATAAATGAAGTTTCTTTGGTCCCTCTGAGGTTTAGGGGTGGGGGACACGACAAAGCCAAGAAGGCGATAAATCCCATGGATGCTACAGGTAGTTGGAGCAAAGGTCTGACTTGCTGGATGCCCAAAGAGCAGTGGTGAAATCTAAATTTCTTTTTACTACCAGTTCTGTGGGTGTGGCTCGGTGGGCGTGGTGTGGCTTGGTGGGCGTGGCAGGGGAAGGATACTGCAAAATCCCCATTCCCTCCCCATTCCAGGTTTTATGGGTTATTTTTTTAATTGTATAGCTTGGGGTTTTAAATTGGGAGGCCGATTAATTTAATTTATTTTTAGTTATCTTAACTTTTATATTGTATGTTATTTTAATTTTCGGCTGTTCACCGCCCTGAGTCCCTTCGGGGAGAAGGGCGGTATATAAATTCAATAAACTCAATAAATTCAATAAATAAATAAATTCCTGGGGGAAGGATATTGCAAAATCTCCATTCTCACCCTACTTCATGGGAAGGATACTGCACAATCCCCATTCCCTCCCCATTCCTGGGGGAAGGATACTGCAAAATCCCCATTCCCTCCCCACTCCAGGGAAAGGATACTGCAAAATCTCCATTCCCTCCCCATTCCTGGGGGAAGGATACTGCAAAATCCCCATTCCCTCCCCACTCCAGGGGAAAGGTACTGCAAAATCCCCATTCCCTCCCCATTCCTGGGGGAAGGATACTGCAAAATCCCCATTCCCTCCCCACTCCAGGGGAAGGATACTGCAAAATCCCCATTCCCTCCCCACTCCAGGGGAAGGATACTGCAAAATCCCCATTCCCTCCCCACTCCAGGGGAATGATACTGCAAAATCCCCATTCCCTCCCCACTCCAGGGGAAGGATACTGCAAAATCCCCATTCCCTCCCCACTCTGGGGCCAGCCACAGATGGCATTTGCCTATTCTCGGAATTACTCAAAATTTCCGCTACCGGTTCTCCCGAACCTGTCAGAACCTGCTGGATTTTTTCACCCCTGCCAAATAGCCATTGCACACCTGCTTTATGGAAGAGGAGAAATCACACACACAGAGAGAGAGAAAGAAACACATGTACGCACACATACAGACATACACACACGAGCGTCTTACCTGTGAAGCCAGGATGTGCTGTTGAAAATGGAACGGTAAGGCAGCTGCAGCTGCTGCCGCCGAAACCCCACTTAATCCCTGGGCAGCTGCTGTGGCCATCGCCGTATTGTCTAGACCGGTAACTCCTGCTGACGTCGCCCCGGAGACTGTGGCCAACAGAGGCCCCATGCCAGCCATGCCCGAGAAAGCTCCACCCATGGCAAACTGGCTAGGATGGAGGAGAAAAGGATGCCCATTGCTCAGAGGGTTGAAGAACTGTTGGCTGGCCAGGCCATGGGGAAACGTGAGGTTGGAAAGGTGATTTTGAGCCAGGTGCCCGGGATTGTCCGTCTGAACGGTTAAAGACGCGAAGGGTTCTTTGTTCAGGAGCCTGCATTCCTCCTGGTTCTTGCGTTGTTGTTCTTCTCCTCCTCCACCGCCCAAATTCCGGGTGCTAGAAGAAATGGTGGCTGGACTATGCTGGGAATCTGGAGGCACTTTCGAGAGGCTCTCTCGGCTGCTGCTGGCCGAGTCCGGTGGGAAAAGGGGAGCTTTGGAAGGGCTGTTCTTCCCCCCTTCTCGAAGGTTTGTCCCATCATCTCCTCCTCCCAAGGAGGAGCTGCTGTGGGGGGCGAGGTTGGCCGTGGTGGTCGAGATCTTCCCGACTTCGTTGGCTTCCATGGGGTCCTCTTTGCTCTCCGAGTCGCTTTCGCCATCGCTGGGACACAGGTCTGAGAAGAGAAAGAGAGAGGGTGGGAAAAGGAAGGAAAAAAGACCACAGAGAAGGGCTTCCCACTTGCGTCCCACAAGATGTTCCTCAGAAGAGGAGTCCCACAAGATGTTCCTCAGGAGTCCCCTAAGATATTCCTCAGAAGAGAAGGCCGCCTTCTCTTACTCTCCCAACCAACTGAGAACCAAAATTTCCTAACTCAGTTGAGTAAGTCAGATGGAGTCCCGTGCTTACAAATCAGTTTTCCTCTGGACTTGGAAGTCATCCAGGTTTTTTTCAATTCCAACTCGAGATCCGGATCTAATTTTCACTGAAGTTTTTGATCTACTTGGGTCTTGGCACTACAACTGTCTAATCCAGAAGAGAGGCCAGAGAAAGAGATTTTATCCACTATTTTCTAGATATTATAGATATTATTCTAGATATTATATCCTTAAGATTTATGTTGACTGTTTTTCCCTATGACTATCATTAAGTGTTGTACCTTATGATTCTTGACCAATGTATCTTTTATGTATTCTGAGAGTATATGCACCAAGACAAATTCCTTGTGTGTCCAATCACACTTGGCCAATAAAGAATTCTATTCTATTCTGTTCTGTTCTGTTCTGTTCTGTTCTGTTCTGTTCTGTTCTATTCTATTCTATTCTACTCTACTCTACTCTACTCTACTCTACTCTACTCTACTCTACTCTATCCTCTATCCTCTATCCTCTATCTATCTCTAAATATCTATCTCTCTATCTTTATTATTTATTATATTATTATTATTAGTTGTCATTATTAAAAACTAATTCCCACAACACTGTCAAATTCTCATCCAAGAAGCTCTGGACTGGATGGTGGGGAAGGGAAGGGTTTATATTCTGGTCAATGACCATCATCCATCATCCAGTTGGATCTGAAGAAGCTTCTTGGATGAGAAGCGAAAGGTCTTCAAAGAAAAACCAGAAAGTCCAGCTGCCTCTTGAAAAAAAGCAGCATTTGGGACACTTATGGAATGAACCATCTTCTTATTTTTATAATAAACTTCCCTCTGAAGTGTGTGGGGTGAGGCTGAAGGACTGAGAAAGAACAGCATTATTTCTCCAACTTTTAATCCGGGCATCTGGTGTTGGAATAAACAGTGTCTTTTCTTTCCATCCGCAACAAGAATCATGAAGGTGGAATTCTGGGGCAGTGTTTGCTGCACACCCTCACAAACACACACAAACACACAGAGGCAATGTTCAAACTTTAAAAAAAAAAACACACGAGTGTGTCAAATAAAAAAGGGGCATTCCTTCCTACAATAGCATAGCAAAATCAGAGCAATCTGGACAGCCAAGGCTACGGGGAAATGCGCAGATCTCTGGGACACCAGCTTTGGAGTACAGATAGTCCTTGATTTACAACAACAATGGAGCCAACATTGCTGTTGCTAAGCCAGACTGTTGTTCAGTGAGTTTCAGGGAGGGAGAGACAGAGACAGAGACAGAGACAGGGAGAGGGAGAGGGGGGGGGGGGGGAGAGGGAGGGAGAGGGAGAGAGGGAGGGAGGGAGGGGGAGGGAGAGAGAGAGGGAGAGGGAGGGAGAGACAGAGACAGAGACAGGGAGAGGGAGAGGGGGGAGGGAGAGAGGGAGGGAGGGAGGGAGAGACAGAGACAGAGACAGGGAGAGGGAGAGGGAGAGGGAGAAGGAGAGGGAGAGACAGGGAGAGGGAGAGGGAGAGACAGAGAAAGGGAGAGGGAAAGGGAGAGACAGGGAGAGGGAGCGGGAGAGGGAGAGGGAGAGGGAGAAGGAGAGGGAGAGACAGGGAGAGGGAGAGGGAGAGGGAGGGAGGGAGGGAGGGAGAGACAGAGACAGGGAGAGGGAGAGGGAGAGGGAGAGGGAGAAGGAGAGGGAGAGACAGAGACAGAGACAGGGAGAGGGAGAGGGAGAGACAGAGAAAGGGAGAGGGAAAGGGAGAGACAGGGAGAGGGAGAGGGAGGGAGGGAGGGATGGAGAGACAGAGACAGGGAGTGGGAGAGGGAGAGAGAGAGAGAGAGAATGAGAACGACTGGCCAAGTGAGAGAAACCAAGTTACATTTTAAGATTGGGGTGTTTTCGAGATTCAATTTTTTTTTAAATCAAGAAGGTTTTTTTTGTTCATCCCCATCAGCCAGAAAATTTGCAACTACTCATCAATAAGAAGGTAGAACAGCTCTTGCTCTTACTCCAGTGTGGAAACAGTGGGGAAAGCAGCTCACCTTTAAGATTAGAGGTACCCACGGCAGACACAGCCGGAGATGTCGACTGAGCAAAACATTTAAAGGCCGTTTGCTCGCTGGAAGATTCATCCGAAGTCTCTTTTTTCTGCCTCTCATCGTAAACTCTCATGGATTGAAGAGTCAGCTGCTTTCTAGGAAGAGAAGAGAAAAGAAAAGGGGGATGAGTTTTGGTAGGACGGATTCCTCAAACCATACAAAGCATTCTTGGTTTAAAAAGGTAAAGGTAAAGGTTCCCCTCTCACATCTGTGCTAGTCGTTCCCGACTCTAGGGGGCGGTGCTCATCTCCGTTTCAAAGCCGAAGAGCCAGCGCTGTCCGAAGACGTCTCCGTGGTCATGTGGTTGGCATGACTCAATGCCAAAGGCGCATGGAACGCTGTTCCCTTCCCACCAAAGGTGGTCCCTATTTTTCTACTTGCATTTCTTTTTATGTGCTTTCGAACTGCTAGGTTGGCAGAAGCTGGGACAAGTCACGGGAGCTCACCCGGGATTCGAACCGTTGAACTGCCAACCTTTCGATCAACAAGCTCAGTGTCTTAGCCACTGAGCCAGGTTTAGCCAGGTAAAAAACCAAAAATTAAATCTTTCTTATGCTCATAGACGGGCATATTAGCCAGGTGTGGCCCAACCTGCCACAGCTTCACACAACACACGCTAACCCATCAAGCGTGGCTGATTTGGATCACAACATCTGGAATCGCCAGCTGTCCTAAACCAAAAACCCATCAATTCCATGAAAGGTTGACCAACATTTGTGGGTTTCAAACTTCCTTTTCTCCCTAAATTCCAGCCTGCCACCCTTTAAATCAAGTCGATCCGAAAGGTTGAGAGAAATCTTCAAGTCAGCCAAAACCTGTATTTTTAGAATGGGTTTAAGAATAAGGTTGTCTATGGTACAGATAATCCTCGACTTACAACAGATTTACAACGGTAGTGGAAAAAAGTTTTTCACACGAATGACCATGGCTGCATCCCGGGAGGGGGGGGGTTTCCACATGAAAAGGGTGATTCCCCCTTTTTACGACCTTCTGAGAAGCAAATTCAATGGGGAAGGAGCCTGGATAGCTCAACAGACTAAGCACTGTAATTTAACACCAACTGTCTGCAATTAAAGTAAGATCGAATCTCGCCAGGCTCAAGGTTGACTCAGCCTTCCATCCTTTCTAAGGTAGGTAAATTGAGGACCAGGTTTGTGGGGGCAATAAGCTGACTTTGTATAAAAATATACAAAAGTATGAAGGCTATTGCTTAATGCACTGTAAGCCTCCCTGAGTCTCCGGAGAAGGGCTGCATATAAATCAAATTAAAAAAAAAAAAAGTCAGATTCACTTAATAACCATGTGACGGATTTAACAACCCCAGTGATTCGCTTAACCAATGTGGCAAGACAAGTCATAAAATGGGACAAAATCCACTTAACAAATTTCTCGCTTAGCAGCGTAAATTCTGGGCTCCATTGTGGTCATAAGTCGAGGATTACCTGTACTAAGGATAGTGTACATTTGAGCCCTTGTTCCCAGGCTGACATCATCACCGTAGGATGAAACTCTCAAAGCAAGTTTGAACAATCAGACTTTTAAATATTTGGGATTTACCAATCTCATTCTGCTTTGTTATGGGCCATTCTGGTTTCAAATGATGGAAACTGGAAGCCTCCATTATCCAGATGCCAATTTTTGTCTTAAATTGTTGAAGCTCGTCAAGCAATTGTCAGACCAAATCTTTTACAGCCCTCTGTATGACTTTGCTTGCGTGCTGCCTTCATCTAGGCTTAATTAAACCACCTTTTATCTCATTAACCCCCTTAAAAAAAAATACATAACATCCCTAAGCCATTCATTGATTACACAGACTGTAGTTTGGACAGATCAAAAAATGCGGTTGGCCAGTTTGTGCATCCAGACATCTCAAAAGCTGAATTCACACAAGACATTTAACCTTAATTTGTTGAACTTATTAAACTAGTCAAGCAGAATGAGGCCATAACCGTTTTGGGTGAAAACACGGCCTGTTTGGAAATCAGGCAATTGAGGATCCAGGTTTATTTGTTTTGATGGAGGGAGATGCAAATTTTAAAAGAGGCCGAGAAGAAGAGGAATTCCTAACCAACTGACGGTTTGAAATCTCCAGGAGATATTTGCTCTAGTAATAGCTTCAAGAAAATAACTCTAGTTTAACGCTTGAATGCAAATGTTGATCCTCTTAAGGTCTAGGAAAACCTGATCTTCTCTTGCTCCTCCTATTCACATCCTCCTTGTTAATATTTCAATCCTCCCTACCACTTCTTGAGACCAATCTGTAAAGAAATGCAGCCCAAGTGCAGGATTAAAATAAGTCCAGAAATAAAATTTCAAAAGGAGGGAGCAGGGAAGGCCTTACAAAGTCCACGTTAAGGACTCTTCCACTTTCCATTTTCCACTAAAAGCACAAAAGGCATAACTCTTGCTTTAGAAGCAAAGACAAAAAGAACTGGAAAAAATTCTTAGGAGTGTGTGTGTGTGTGTGTGTGTGTGTGTGTGTGATTATATAATATATATATATATATATATATATATATATATATATATATATATATATATATATATATATATATATATGTCTTTTTCTTTTTCGTAGGCTTTTATGTGCATAATATTCTTTCTAGCCAGGTTTTACCTACATAAGCTAAGATGTTCTACAGCCCTGAACATCTTAGCTTACGTAGGTAAAACCTGGCTAGAAAGAATATGCATATGCGTGTGCGTGTGTGTGTGTGTGTGTGTGTGTGTGTGTGTCTATATCTCATACTGCTTCCCTTTCGCCTTTGAGCTCCAATTCAGGAGCCCCCTCAAGCATTCACAACAAACCATTTTATACCAAATTTATATTTGCTGATAAAGAAATAAAGGGAGACTAGTGGCTCAGAGGTTAATACAACTGCCTAACATGCAGGCAGCCCAAGTTCGAATCCAAGCTATGGTTAGCTGATGAGAGCTAAATAGCTTGAAATAGATCTATACTAGTCTCCCTTTATTTCTTTATCAGCGAAATATAAATTATATAAAAATGTGTCTTGTAAGCACAGTATTTTCACACGGATAGGGAACTAGACAATGTATAGAAGCTGCTAGAAGCAGATTGACGTGGGAGATAAGTGTTATTTTCGATTTCCTACTCCCCAGTTTTGATGGCGACTGGAGCTTCTTCTTTGAAAGAAACTCCAGTCTCTTTCAACAAAATCTGTTGAACGTCCCCCGTTCAAAACCAGTTTGGTTATCAATTGTGGCCTATCCCACATCTTTTCGGTCTTTGTCATGTCACTAATAGGGACCATGTGTCTGTAAGCTATGCATTTACACTTGGCAGAGAGTTTCTCCTTTGAGTAGCACCAAAGAGAAGGTCGCACATTGTCAAACTTTTAAAACTTTTTTTTTTTAAAAAAAAAAAACCCAAACTTTCCAATCCTGCTTTTCGCCTCGTGTTCACACCACGATTGGATATTTTGCGATAGGAACTGAAAAGAAGGAATATTTCTGTTTTTATTATTTATTTTATTTTATTTTATTTTATTTTATTTTATTTTATTTTATTTTATTATTTTATTTATTATTTTATTTATTTTATTTATTTTGTTTTATTTTATTTTATTTTATTTTATTTATTTTATTAAGGGCCTTTTTTTCTGATGGCTTCTCTGACGGCTCCCCACCCCCCAAAAAAAGGGAAAATAGAAATGTACGTATTCTTCTTACCTCTTTTCTCGCCTTCCATTCCCTGTGTCTCGGAAGCCTTTGGCAAAAGGGTTATTGTCGATTTTTAACTGGGTGATCTGGCAAAAAGAAGGACAGCGAAAGAAACATTTGTCATGTATGTCCCGAATTGGATTCTTAGGAAAGAAAAGACTCTGGAATCCATTGGTGCGAAAGGTATATATATATACCTAAAGGTACATATATATATATTTTACTAAAGACCAAGTGGTTACAACGCAGCAAAGCCAGAACTAAAAATTTACACCAGTTAGGTCCCTTAGTTAACTTTTCCTCCCTGTTATGTCTTTATTGTCCAGTTACAGTTCATAGATTTGTTCTGTTAAAGATAGTGTAATTGGTGGATTTCTGTTGTATTTCTGCCCTCTGTAGAGCAGTAGTAAGAGTCTAGAAGGGGACAATTGCAAATATGCGGAGGTTTGGGACAAGCAGTCGTAATTTAATAGCTTAGCAAGAAAGATCAGGACTTAAACCTTGGGTGCAAACACGAATGATTCTGAGGACTGCCGCACAAAAGATAACAGGAAAGAGGAGGGGAAAATCTATAGAGGAGCGGGGCAAAAAAAAACCCCAACAACCCCTGATTTATTTAAACCAAACATTTTCCTTTAAAAAAAAAAAAGAAAAGTCAAGATCCCAGAAAAAAACTTCTGTCCAGATCTTTGCAGAAATAAAAAGGAGAGGCTTAGGGGATCTCAGAAGCAGGTTGGCATTCCCCCCCCACTTTTTTTTTTAAAATGGCTTTATAGTTCTTTGCTGCAAATTTGTGGCTATTCAGGCGAGGATTAAGGGGTCCCACAGGGGATGAAGTTCCTGTGGTCATTTCCTTACTCCAAGTTGCTCAGTCTTAGCTAATTAGCGGCTGCTTGGGCTTTGCTAACTCCCCCCCCCCACTCTGTGAGTGTGTGTGCATACACACGTACACAAATACACACACACAGAGAGAGAGAGAGACAAGTGCACTGTTAGTCTCTTCTCGGAATGAATGGAACGCAGAGCCCATTAGTCATGTTATGGTCTCAAGGCTTTACCTGCCTTAATTCAATTGCAAAAGCATCGGATTCCTCTCTTTGCTAAAGTAAAATATTTTACTTTAAATATTTTTAGGGGGCTTCGAATCTCGATTTATAACCAGCGCGCGTGCCTATCTCTCGCATACTTAAAGAATATCTGCTAGACAAAATATCTTATGGGCCCCCTTCCGTCTTCAGATTCTTCTCTAGCTTTTCTCCAAACAATCTGTTCCTTGCTTTGATTTTTATGGGGGATTGAAGGAAGATTTCATTTCAAAGCTGGGTTGGAAAGGCTTCCCGCTTGGGAAAATTTGCTGAATAAGTCTGAGGTATAGTGAAGCAAACTCTTGAATGCTGAAATCGGCACCAGAGGATGAGGAGAATGACCGGCTGGGTTGATGGAGAGGAGGAGGATGATAGGGAGAGGGAGTAGGAGAAGAAAAAGAGAAGGAGGAGATGGAAAAAGGAGAATGGAGAGAAGGAAAAAGAGGAAAAGGAGACTGGAGAGAAGAAGGGAGAGGAGGAGATTTTTTTTCATAATGCAGGAGAAGGGAGAAAGAAGGGAAGAAGGGAGAAGAAAAAGGGAGAAGGGAGACAGGAGAAAGAAAAGGGAGAAGGGAGAGGGAGAAGAGAGAAGGAGAAAGGGAAGGGGAAGGAGAAAGGAGAAGTGAAAGAAGGAGGAAAAGGGGAAGGAGGAGAAAGAGGAGAAGGCGAGTGAAAAGGAGAAGGAAGGAAGGATAATCATTGGGTGTCACTTCAGAGCAAAAAAGAAAATAAAATCTCAAGTGGTAATCCACCACTTTCCTGCTTAGATCTCAATCCTACAATGGCTGAGTTTTGGTGGAAGCCCAATTGAGCGTAAGGGAGTTTAGATTTGAATGAACTCTTCGGGGAATTTCTTTTTCTTTCTTTCTTTCTTTCTTTCTTTCTTTCTTTCTTTCTTTCTTTCTTTCTTTCTTTCTTCTATCTATCTATCTATCTATCTATCTATCTATCTATCTATCTATCTAGAAGTGGGACCCAAGAACACACAGGATTCTCGGAACCTTCTGAAAATCCATTTCTCCCCGACTGGCAAGCCCTGCTTTTTAGGCTGTGACACGGAGGCCGTATTTCTACTCTACTTTCAAGAAGCTCCACTCCTCTTGAAGAGTGGCAAGTTGTTGACCAGAATGGCCTTCTCAGCATCTGCTTCAATTCGTAGACCTTTCAAATTTTTGGCTTGGCCACCGAGTAGGAGAACGGGGTTCTACTGGAGAGGAGGAGGTCTTAGTTAAGTCCCTACACCTGCAGACAGGTGAAGTCCTGTTCAATTCCACTCTTCTGCAGAAGGACCTTTTGACAAGCAAGCAGAGACCAAGGCGTGAAGGTTATCTTAGAGGAACTGGCTCCATTTCTTCCCTCTTCTTCCCCCTTTCTTCCTCTACCACTATCAAAGAGGATTTGGACCAACTCGGTTCCTTAGTGGCTTTGCCTTTAGGCCGCTTTCAACAGAAACTCTGACAAACCTCGGACTTCACAACTGCCTCTTTTTCCCATCTTCCACACAATTTCTTTGCAAACCTGCTGCCATTTTGATTCAGAGGGCAGGTTGGCTCTGAATTGCACATATCACAAGGTAGTGAAAGCAATCAAACCAGCCTTCCTTCCTTCCCTTCTTTCCGTCCCTCCCTCCTTCCTTCCATGCATCTGTTCTCTCTCTTTTCCTTCCTTCCTTCCTTCCTTCCTTTCCTTCCTTCCTCTCTCCCTCCCTTCCTTCCTGCCTTCCTTCTTTCCTCCCTTCCCTTCCTTCTTTCCCTCCCCCTTCTTTCCTTCCATCTGTCTGTTCTCTCTCTTTTTCTTCCTTCCTTCCCTTCCTTCCTTCTTTCTTTCCTTCCTCCCTTCCTTCCTTCCATCCATCCATCCATCCTTCCATCCCTCTGTTCTCTCTCTCTTTTCCTCCCTTCCTTCCTCCCTCCACTCTGGAACAAGCTTTTCCATTCTCGCAAGCTTGTGAAAACTTCACAAAAGGCCCCTTTACAAGCCGCTCGTTTAGAGTGAGAGAAACCCAATGAACAAAAAGGAGCATCAAGATCTGGTGTTAGATACCGAATTCTTTCCCATGCTTTTCAGGCTACCTCAAGCTCTTACGTTCCACCTCTCTCATGCATAATCGGGGGGAAAATTTCAGCAGCTAACTAGCCAAGCCACCTATTATCCCATATCCCGGGTGAGGACCCGGATTGTGGGGGCAATAAACCAGCTTTGTATAGAACAACCCCACTTAGGGGGGGGCGAAAGCCCTAATAAGCAGGTATATACAAAAAAAGTATGCAGGCTATTGCTATAATGCATTGTAAGCCACCCTGAGTCTCCGGAGAAGGGCGGCCTATAAATTGGACTAATAAATCAATCAATCCCATCTTTCCAAAGATTGCCCCTTAAATATTGCCAGTGAGTCAGCTTCTTCCCTCACCCAAAGGAAAATACCACCCCACCACCCCCAGAGACATATACAAACAACCAAGTCACTAACAACCAAAAAAAAAGAAGTTCAAAGAAAAAGACGGAGAGATGAAGGGAAAGTCAAAACTTCCTTTTGGCTCCATAGCTCCAATGACCTTCAAGGAGAGATTTGAAGCCCTCGGCTTAGGCTGTCACCAGTCTAAGGTAGGCTCAGAGCCATAAATTCAATTAACACCCTTTTCCCATAATAATACCCCACTCCTCTTTAATGAGCTTGACCAAACAGGTATTTAATTCATGGTTTCTTTGAAGCGCGTGAAGGAAAAAGAGAAGAGAGGAGAGGAGAGGAGAGGAGAGGAGAGGAGAGGAGAGGAGAGGAGAGGAGAGGAGAGGAGAGGAGAGGAGGAAAAAGCAGAAGAGAAACCAAATGCCAGATTTTGATACCTGTATCTCCCAATCCTTCCTGCTCCAATCAAAGCCTTATCCGAGGCTCACACCGGTGGACATTCCCCCCTTCCCCACTCACTCCCTTTCCAACCTCAATCCCCTTACCTTATCGTTCTGATAGGCTGTGACAGCAATGAATTCCGTTTCCGGAAAGACATAAGTCCGGAATGTGCTGTAAGGTAGCTTCAGGATATCGTTGGCTCGGACGATGTGGAACCGAGGCTGGTATTTATGCATAGAGTTTAAGATGGTCTAAGGGAGAGGAAGGGGAAAAAAAAATAAGAAAGAAAAAGGGGTTGGGAGAACAAGATTTAATGGAGGGGAAACGGCGCACGCGTTATATCTAAACCACTCGTTTTTTCTAATCTACAGCCTGCCTGTGTAGCTTCCCCGAACTTTATGGGAGCAAATTTTGACATTTTTTACGAAGAATTCTACTTCCAACCAACTGCCCTCTTCCTCCCTCCCCTACTACAATTTGTAGAGATCCAGATCCAAGTTGCCTAAAATAAGAGAAAGGATCCCATCCGGGGAGAGCCAGAGCAGAGATACGTATGTCTCTATGCATGGATATATGTAAGATGATAGAGAGATAGATAGATAGAGAGAGAGAGAGACTAGCTAGCTAAGCTAGCTAGATATTCAATAAGAATATCCTGGTCTGTTAATTGATTTTAAAGGGATAACATTGCGTGCCACCTCATTTTATATTGAAACTATTATATTTGGAGGAATGGTGATATGAATTGACTATTTGAAAAATAAAGTCTAACCGTGAAATATATTATTTCCATATGATAGTCAATAGAGGTTTTTTCCTTTCCTTCTTTCCTTTCCTTTCCTTTCCTTTCCTTTCCTTTCCTTTCCTTTCCTTTCCTTTCCGTTCCGTTCCGTTCCGTTCCGTTCCGTTCCTTTCCTTTCCTTCTTTCCTTTCCTTTCTCCTTTCCGCTTCCTGCTTTCCGCTTTCCTTTCTCCTTTCCTTTCTCCTTCCCCACTTTAAATAGAATTCAGTTCTTCCCAATGTACAAAGGCCAGATTCTACCATTTCGGGCAGTTTCGCTTTGGAGATTCGCATGGTGATTTGATTTTTTTTTTTTATTCAGCCGATTTGATTCTCCTTCTCCTCCCCCTACCCTCATAATTTTATTCTTCTCTCCCACTCCCTTCCTAAGAAAGCCGAACCTGATATTCTAACAGGTCATCCATCCTAAGGCCAAAAGAGAGGGTTGATCCTCCCGCCCCAACTTCCTTTTAAAACCTGGAGTTTATTACAAAAAAAAATCTAGAACCTACAATTTGATAGTCAATTTCAAGCGTGAGAAAAAGATTTCCAACCGTTTCTAATAAAGAAGTCTATTTTTTGCCCCGTTTCTCCAACAGGCCTGAATTTCTAGTCACCGTATTTTGCAAATAGCTAATAGTACTACTACTAGTAGTAGTACTTTTATTACTACTACTAGTAGTAGTAGTAAAATCATCATCATCATCTACATGAAGGCCAGCATTATGTCAAGGAGGAAGATCAGTAGTTCAGGGAAAACTCACTAAGCGAATTAAAAGCACTTACAAATCTGTGTTTCTCTTAATACGAAGTAAACTTTTGCCCCATTTTTCCAATAGGCCTGAATTTCTAGTCACATATTTTGCAAATAGCTAATAGTACTACTACTAGTAGTAGTACTTTTACTACTAGTAGTAGTAAAATCATCATCATCATCATCTACATGAAGACCAGCGTGTTACGTCAAGGGGGAAGATTAGTAGTTCAGGGAAAACTCACTAAGTGAATTAAAAGCACTTACAAATCTGTGTTTCTCTTAATACGAAGTAAACCTTTGCCCCATTTTTCCAATAGGCCTGAATTTCTAGTTGCCCTATTTTGCAAATAGCTAATAGTACTACTACTAGTAGTAATGCTATTTTATATTATTATTGTTGCTAGTAGTAGCAGCATCAGCAATAATAATAATAATAATAATAATAATAATAATAATAATAATAGTAATCTACATGTATTGTGTATTTTACAAAATACATCAAGAAATTACAGCTTCCTGCAATGCCCAGAACATCGTATATTTTAAGAAGATACTTTGTCGATACCTAGGAAGCTGGCAGCATCCCATATCAACCATCAGCGCCAGTCAATGATATTTGTGATATATTTTTAGATGTTCAGGTGACTGAGTTTCATGTTTAATAAATAACAATAATAATAATCTACATGAAGACCCGCGTTATGTCAAGGGGGAAGATGAGGAGTTCAGGGAAAACTCACTAAGTGAATTAAAAACACTTACAAATCCATGTTTGTCCGAGATGTTGTTGGTCAGTTTCAGTTTGTGGAAGGTGACAACTTTTGACATCCACTGTTCACCCGTGGCTGGGCTATCCGGATGGATATACATTCTCTTCGGCATTTCGGGATCGGCTTTCCCAGCCACCATCCACCTCGAATTATGGAATTTATATCTACAGTCATCCGCGGCTACAATGTCCATCAATAAAATGTATTTTGCCTTTTTATCTAGACCCGTACACCTCACTTTAAAAGGTGGGAACATTCTCCTAGAGACAAAGAAAGTAGATATTATGTTATATTACATTGTTTTATTTTCTTTTGCTTCCTTGCTTCCTTGCTTCCTTCCTTCCTTCCTTCCCTCCTTCCTTCCTTCCCTCCTTCTCCTCTCCCTCCCTTTCATTCTCCTTCCTTCCTTCCTTCCTTCCTTCCTTCCTTCCTTCCTTCCTTCCTTTCTTCCTAGAATCATTTGAAAATTCAACTGTTAAAGTCTGTTAGTAATACACGCATAGTAATACACAGGGTACGCTGTTCCTTAAAAGCTGAGCATTCAAGTCTATAGAAAAAAGTGGAGTGTTATATTAATATTATCAATTTATAATATCAACGTCTCACATTGGGGGGATGTCGTACCCTTCGCTTCCATGATTTCCAAACTTATTTTTTTCATGATTTCCAAATATCATTTCCAAACATGCAAAAAAAAATTTTGCTGGTTGGTGCAAATATTTTGCTGATTAGTGTTAACCGAAGGGCCCAAAATCCCTTTATAGAAATCTCTGCACGGAATCTTGTTGGGTTCCCATTGAGAAAAAACAACAACAATTTCCTCCAACACACACACACATACAAACACACAAACACATTGCAAACCCCTTCCCGCCAGTTTCTGAACGGTTTTCTTTTCTTCACCAATTATTCCTTGATTTTAGACCATTTTGAATGGGTCTTAATAAATCCCTATAACCCTCCGAGACCTTAAAGGCAGCTCCTATAAGGGGAACATTCCCAAATATTATATTTTGTCCCGGCATTAAAAGAAAATAATTCAAGGATGGACAGCTTTTTCCTAATTCTTAAGGTACGCATTAAACAGGAAAGCCCTCCTTTGCGTTAAACAAGGACTGTTGTTGAACAGTTGTTGAAACAACAGATTGTTGTTACTTTAAACAATAACTGCAGTTTAGAAAGTTTTAAAAGAGGAAGAGGAGTGATTACATTGCGGAAAAACACGGATCCTTCCCTCCAAAATTTGATGTGCCAGAATTTAACAGTGAGGCCTAGGCGAGCCTGAGCCTCTTATACCTGATTTAAAAATCTGGGATTCAAAAGAAAAGGAACAGCTTTTATTGGAAGAGGAAAAAAAATCTCTCTCTCTCTTTTTTTTCTTTCCCCCTTTTTCTGATCCTTTCCTTTCTTTCCTGGATTTGAATTTGGAAGCACCCAGCACCAGGCACCCAAGCGATTTCTTTTTTTTTATTATTATTAAAAAAAATATTTTATGACCAGAAAAGAGCTGTAGGCAATTTTTTATTTATTTTTTTGGGGGCCTGAGTTCATGAGTTCATCCTTTTGCTTTTTCCTTCTCCAATTTTCTTGGAAGGAAACAAGCAAATCCCAGCTCTTTTTTTTTTTGCTGGAAGTAACCCGCTGGACTTCTCGGAAGGCATCCAGCCGTAAAAAGTTTTTTTTAAAAAACTCCGAGAGAACGCAAAACGCAGCCGGAAAACTTTCTCTCATCCCACCAAGACAGCCGAAGCAAGTTTGCGGGTTGGTGGGTGAGGATTTTGGAGGGGTCCTTTTGGGTAAAAGCATTGAGGCTTTTACGCAAGGACGGATTAGACTTCGTCCTTCAGAAAAGCGGCGAGGCCCCCCTTTTTCCGATCGTTTTTCTCACCCCCAACCCGCAGGAGAAGAGCCGGAAAGTTTCTCTTAAGAGAATCGGCGTGGAAAAGGCGGCTGAAAAGTCACAGCCCCCCGCGCGGCCGCCCAGCGCTTACCTTCCCGATTTGGTGATCACCATCTCGGTACCCCGTTTGTGAAATTGTTCCCAAAGTTCCTTGGCTTCCAGGTGGACTTTGGGGTCGTCTTCCACCTCTTCTTCCGGCTCCAGGGTTTTCAAAGGCCGCAAATGAGCCGCAGCTTGGTGGCCCAAAGCGGAAAAAGGGAGGCCGGAATCCGCCGCTCCAATGAGTTGATCCATGATCGGTTTGGTCAAAGCGCCGGGCAAGGAAAGCGCGGCAGCTCCGTTGGGTGGCAAGGCCAAAGCAGGGAAAAAATGAGGTTGGTGGCCCAAAACGGCGCTCATGGGGAAGTCCGGCGCCCGGTGAGGTAGGAAAGGGTGGTAAGCCATGGTGGTCCCAGGGATCACGGGTTCTCTCATGGAGAAACTCATTCAACACAGTCCCACCGGCGCCGCGTCTTCTTCTCCTCCTCCTCCTCCTCCTCCTTCTTTTCCTTCTTCTTCTCCTCCTCCTTCTCTTCCTCCCTTCTTCTTCTTCTTCTGCTTCTTCTCCTGCACCGGGGCTTCGCAGCAGCTCCGGCTTAGACCAATGCCTCGATCTCCCTCCTTCCTCCGCTTGGCAGAAGGGACCGGTCCCGGAGAAAGCGGCCGAAGAGGCGAAGTCAGAGCTGGCCGCTCGTAAGAAGCGACCGTAAAGCGAGCCTCACCGGGGAATCCAGGCAGCCGGCGCCGAGATAGAGGCCATGGCCGCCCCCCACCCTACCCCACGACCGATCAAGGGGAAACTGGGCTCCGGCGCTTCGTCGCCCTTGGTGGAAGAAGCCTCTGTGTGTGCGTGAGTCTGAGTGTCTTGTATTTCCTGCGTGGGTCTATCTATCTATCTATCGGCCGACGCGCCTCCTGCTTAATGAGTGATAGGATCAGGGCTTTATCTAACTTCGGAGAGAATTGCAAAGGATCGGAGGCGCCTCTCGCTTTGCTGCGCCGCCGCCGCCGCCGTATCGGCGACAGGGAACAAGAGGGAAAGTTTAGCCGGGCGAAGAAGTGGGGGGAAAGTAGGAAGGAGGCGATGGGGTGAGGTGGACGGGGGCCCCGGAGAAGCTTCGGACCAGTCCCTGCTGCCGCAGAGGTCGCGCGAGGTCTGGGGGCCCGCTGGTCTTTCCCACCCACCCCCTCCTCCTCCTCCTCTTCCCTTTTCCTTCTTTCCTTCCTTTTCTCTGGCCGGGATGGGCTCTCCTCCTCCTCCTCCTCCTCCCGCTTCTTAGTCCTTCTTCAATTCCTCCTGGCCATTCTCTTCCAGCTGCAGAGAACTGCGGAGAACTGGAGCAGCCGCCGCAAACAGCAGCGGTCGGCGCGGCGGCTTCTCATCGAAGCGCCCGGACCGAGGCGAAAGGAAGCAGAAGAGCCGGCGGGGCGGAAAACTCTGCGACCCTCCAAAAGGTGCCAAAGGCTGGCGCCTCCTCCTCCTCCTCCTCCTCCTCCTCCTGCAGCCCCCGCGCAGCTGTCTCGCCCGGAGCCCCGCAGCCTTTCCTTTCTCCGTCTCCGGCGCTCTTCTCCTTTCCAGCCGGCTGGCTCGCCTCGCCTTCTGCCTCCCTCCCCCTCCCCGCTCCCTGCAACCTCCTCCGCTTGGCCTCCCCTGGTATGCGTGTGAGAGAGAACCCCCCCCTCCCCCGCCGCTCCCGCGAGGAAAGAACACGGGAGGCAGGGCAAGCCCGCGAATCAATGGACGGCTCGGCTCAGCTGCGCTGAGTCGAGGAAGCCGGAACGAGTTTGTGCTAAGTCGGGCCGCTTCCCTCCTTCCCTCCCCCCGCCGCCTCCTCTCCCTCCCTTCCTCGGCTTCTGCGAAGCAGCCAGCCAGCCAGAGGAAGCTCCCCGAGTCCCACGCCCGGGAGGGAGGGAAGGAAGGTGTGCGCGCGCCCGCGAGTGTGGATGGGTGGGGGGGAGGGAGGGAGGGAGGGAAAGCCAGCGAGTGCGCGCTCTGCTGGTGGTGATGGCGAGTGTGTGTGTGTGTGTGTGTGAGAGAGAGAGAGAGAGAGAGAGAGAGAGAGAGGGAATGAGAGAATGAGCGGTGTGGCAGGGCGGGCGTGCGCCCGGGTGTGAGTCTATCTCTCCCTCTAAGGCCGGCCGCTTCGCTGCGCCAGGTTGTAAGGTGGCCCTCGCTGGGCTTCCGAGCGGGGCGGGCGGGCGCCTTGATTGGCCCTTTGACGCTTTCGGACCAATTGGCTGGCTCCAGAGGCGTGGTTGTGACAGGTCGTGCGGATGGGGTGGGGGTGGGTGGGGGGGTGGGGGGGGGAACGAGTTATAAAAAGAAGGTGTCGGAAACGGCAAAACTGCATCCCCACTGCTCGGGGCCCAGCGGATCTGTCACCAGGAGCGGAGGAGGAGGAGGGGAGGGGAGAGAGTGGCAGCGGCGGCTGGAGTAGCAGCCGCCGGGGCCATTGGAGAGGCAGACAGGCAAGAAGTGTGTTTGGGGAGGGGGCAAACCAGGAAGGAAGGGAGGGAGGGACGCCTGCCTCTAGGGGGCTTGGCTGAGAGGGTTTGGCTCGCTCCAGCGAAAGGGAGGAGGGAAAAGGAGGAGGAGGAGGAGGAAGAGGAGGAAGAGGAGGAGGGAGGGAGGAGGGAGGAGGAAGGGGGGGGGTTAAGAAACGCCCCTCCCTTTCTCTTTCTTCGCCCTTCCCCTGGCCCAGATTTCAGCTTGGGTGGGACGCCTTAGCCACTTCTCCTCTTGGGCTAGGTAGGAGGAGGAGAGGAGGAGAGGAGGAGGAGGAGGAGAGTGAAGGCACGTGTGTCTCGGCGAGGGTTGTAAAAGGTGAAAGGGCGCGTGGGGCGGGGCGAGCTGCTCCCGGCTTTCCCCGGCACACGCGCGTGCCTGCCCGCCCAGCCTACTACCCGATGGGGCAGCGTTCCTTTCTGCTCGGCTTCCACGCGCGTTTGTGCCTACGTCGCTCTCCCCTCCGACGAGGGCGGTCTATAAAGACTGGAGAAGCAGCGTCTGTGTTGGGTTTCCAGCAGCCCCGTTTCGTCTCTCTCTCTCTCTCTCCCCACCCCTCACCCACCCACCCACCCCAGTTGCACAAACACACGCGCGCCGCGCTCCTTCCCCTGATTCAGCGCGAAGGCTGCCGAAGGAACGCTCGCGCTCTACTCGCAATTCCCTCCCTCGAACCCTTCCTTGTGAGTATTTTATGGGGTGGGGTGGGGTGGGATATAGGGGCTTAAACATTCCTGCCAGTATTGCATTCGCTCTCCTGGAAGCCAATGAGTTGCCTTAGACCTCGGCCTACCGCCTTTTTGGGGCCCTGCCCTCTCGGACTACTACTACTACTACAACACCCATCCCCTCCAGCGCAGCCCTGAGGGGCTAATGGGCGTTGCGATCTTCCGAAGCGGCAGGAATTAGGACCGGTTGCATTCCGGGAGAAGAGGAGAAGTAGGCGTCGGTAGGAGGAAGTGGGGGAGGATGGGGATTGTAGTACAGATGGCCTGGAGGGGAGCCAGAGTCGGGAGAAGAAAGCGCCGTTCTTGGGGGGTGGGGGAGAGAGAGAAAGAGAGAAAAGGAAAGGAAGAAAGGAAAGAAAAAAGAAAGGGAGGGAGGGAGGAAGGGAAAGAAAGAAAAGGAAGGAAAGAAAGAAGAAAAAGAAAAAGAAAAAAGAGGGAGGAAGGGAAAGAAAGAAAAGGAAGGAAAGAAGAAAGGAAGAGGAAGGAAGGAAGGAAGGAAGGAAGGAAGGAAGGAAGGAAGGAAGGAAGGAAGGAAGGAAGGAAAATGGAAATTGCACGTGGGGGCGTGAGCGCTTAAAACGCGTTAAACCAATGCAATGTGTAAGTGTCAACAGTGTGTGGGGGCGGGGGTGGGGGTGGGGGCGACTCGAGAATAGGGACGGATTCGGGGTTCCGCAGCTGGGCGACCTCTTCACACCCCCCGAAAGGCTCGCGGCGCGTTTTTAAGGGACCAGGCGGATTTTCTGCAAGTGACTGTCGGCTCACCTCTCCCCGACCCCCCCCCCCCCCGATCACGCCCGTCTTGTTTTCCCCCCCCCCCCCCTCCTTCCTCCTAGCGCCTACCTGCCGCCCCCCTTCCCCGCCCGCGATCCCCCGTAGGACCCCTGCAACTCAGAGGAGCCCTGCTTGGGTGAACCGCGTCTCTGAAGGATTTTGGCTTTTTCTCTCTCTCCCAAGTTCGCTCCACTCTTGCTAACCCACTCTACGCCTCCCTTCCTTCGCTCTGCCCGCTTTTCAGGGTTGTTTAAACACCTCCGGAGAGGGGGGGGGGTTTCGAAGGAGCCCCCTTGTCTCCTCAATCCGCCCCACCCCCCCACCCGCCTTGGTTGGGAGGATGTTGGAGACCCGGAGTGTGAATCGCCGCGTCTGGAGGCTGGCTTGTAATCAGCTACGGGGGAGGGGGGGGGAGGGAGGAAGAGGGGCGGCCTGTCTGGGGGAAGGGAGCAAACGGGAGGCGGGTTTGCGCGCGCGTGTCTGTGGCTCTCCTTCCCCCCCTCCCCCATCCGCCTGGTATGTGGGGCGAACCGGCACAGAACGGGTTACGGCTCTCTTCCAATCTGTTGTGGGCGAGGGGCTGCATCGGAGACCCTGTTTTTTTGGGGTCCCAAAAAGTAACTTCTGTTTCTCTGGAGCGCCCTGGTTTCCCGCGGGGTGGGAAGGTCTCCGTGTGGGAGAGCCGAATCCGACGTGGGAAACATGGCTCCGTCTCGCCCCCTTTGTCGGGAGATGTCTGTGTGGGGACCCCCCGCCAGTAGGATTAGCTCAGAAGAAGCGCCGCGCAAACCTCCTTAAAGCTGGCTGCGCTTCGGGGTCAAATAGACACTTTGGGATCCTGAGCTCCAGCGGCATTTTATTTATTTATTTATTTAGGTGGGAGAGGTGATGGGGGGGCATTCTTCAGGATGTGGGAGGTAGGCCCGCCCAACAATAGAAACAAACAAGCAAACAAACACAAATGTATGGAAAGGAGAGAGAGAGAAGAGACAGAAAGAGAGAGGAGAGAGGAGAGACAGAAAGAAAGAGACGAGAGAGGCAGAGGCGAGGGAGGAGAGAGAGGAGACAGAAAAAGAGAAAGAGAGAGAAGGGAGAGAGAGGAGACAGAAAAAAAGAGAAAGAGAGAGAAGGGAGAGAGGAGAGAGAGAGGAGACAGAAAGAGAGGAGAGAGAGAAGAGACAGAAAGAGATGAGAAAGGGAGATGGGAGGGAGAGAGGAGACAGAGAAAGAGGAGAGAGAGAGGAAAGACAGAAAGAGAGGCAGAGGTGATGGAGGGAGGAGAGAGAGAGGAGACAGAAAAAGAGAAAGGAAGGGAGAGAGGAGAGAGAGAGGAGACAGAAAGAGAGGAGAGAGAGGAGAGACAGAAAGATGAGAAAGGGAGATGGGAGGGAGAGAGGAGACAGAGAAAGAGGAGAGAGAGAGGAAAGACAGAAAGAGAGGCAGAGGTGAGGGAGGGAGGATACAGAGGAGAGAGAAAAAGAAAGAAAGAGAAGGGAGAGAGAGAAGAGAGAGAGGGAGAAGCAAGCAAGGCAGAAAGGGAGGGGGAGAGGGAGGGAGGGAGAGACACAAGCGTTTTCTCTTCACACGCCTAAACAGACCCAGGAAAGGCCTACCAGCTGCCTTTCGAGGGGCAGGCCAAGTTTGTTTCACATAATCTTGGTTAAGGGGTGGCGAGGGTTGTTGGTCTACCTCTCTCTCTTGTCTCTCGCCCTCCGCGTGAGTGGTAGGGTGCCACAGACACTTGTGTACACACACACACACACACACACACACACAGGCGTTCATGAAGCCACACCAAAGATGCTGCCTTGAATCCAGCTCTGGTTTGATATGTGTGTGTGTGTGTGTGTGTGTGTGTGTGTGTGGTTTTTTTTACAGAGATAGGCGAAAGATTGATAGGTTGATACCTATGGGGGAGGAGGGAGAGAGATGGAGAGATTCAAGGGAGGAGTGGATGGCAGAAGGCTTCCAAAGACTGGGTTAAAAGAGGCGCAGAATTGTTTTAAGAAGGCCCTGCTAAGGTGCGAGAAACTGGCCTCGCTGCCTTTGGGAAGTTCTCCAGATAGATCCACGGGGTGGGGGGGGGACCCACGCGAGACACCAAACTCTCTAGAAAAGTGCCCTTGTGTGGCCGGTGGGTGGCAGGTTGTAAGGAA